TCTGAAGGTTTCATGTATTTTTCTTACCCAACTGTAAGCTTTATTTTACAGTCAACACACAGAAGACATTTATGCACCAAATAAAGGAAAACAGTGCTGTGGGCAACAGCATGAAAATATCCATTGCAATTACAACCAAATATTTATTAATATTTGACTTTGCTAACGGAATAAATCAAAATAGCCGGTCAGGACCATGCCAGTATAGAACATATACATTTGACAAAATTATCTGAATTGTAATCTCTATTTTTCAAATTATTTGCTTATAGTATATACATTATGCCTACTGCTCAAGAGAACATCATTTCATTTTCCAATTATAGCCAAAACAGAGAAAGTGAGGTGCCTTAAAATGTCAACTACACTTAAAATAGAAGTTCTTTAACTCGAGCAGAGCACTATAACACTAACATGTAAACCTCCTCCACTAAGCAAGTCTGGACTCACATAATAACTGCCATTCACTGGGTCAGAAAATATAGCCTCCCTAGTCCAGTATCCTGTCCCCCACAGTGAAAGAGGTGATGGTAACTGGAAAGGTAAGCAGAGCATGTCCAGAATTTTCCGCTTCCCCGCTCCTTCTCCAGTGCAGCTTCCAGAATTCAGAGGTTTAGGAAGATCCGATTCAGAGGCTGTAACCCCTACCTATCATATTCAACACCCATTAATGGACCTTTCCTCTATGAATTTGCTGAATCTCCTTTAACATAAGTTAAAACTATCATCCTCCACAATGTCTTATGACTGAGTTCCACAAGTTAATTAAACATTTAAAAAAAAACAACTTCCTTTTGTTAATTTCAAACCGGCTACCTAACAATTTCATATTACATCCCCTCTAGCTCTAATATTGTGAGAGGTAGTAAATAATAAATCTATCTACTTTCTCTTTACCATTATTATGTAAAGCTCTATTTTGCCTTATCCTCATCATTTCTTTTCTAAGCTGAAAAGTCCTAGACTATTTTATCACATCACATGGAAGCTCCTCCAAGCCTCTGATCATCCTTGTTGCCCTTCACTGTAACTTTTCTAGTTCTTCTGTATCCTTTTTGAGGTGAGAGGAACCAAAACTACATACAATTTGACAATCCTCTTTCCTAAAAGTAATCTGAAAAGTCTATTTTTAAGGAATTTAACACTACAATTATGTGCTGAAAGCCCAAAAGAACAGTAGGCAGGGAAACACTCAGCACAAATCACTGTACTTATTTAACTTCCAAAATATTGTGTGAATAAATCCAGCTCTAGTGACATACCAGATCCAATGATTCAATAACCACTACCAGTGTCTACAGGGCTAGCCAAGTTAGATTAGACTCTTGGGCACAGTTTACTCATAGGATACAGATTTGAGAACATTTCTCTTGTATTTAAAAAAAATGCAAAATCATGCCATAATTTTTCAAAACACCTCTGATCTAAGTACATAGTCTATGCTCCAAATAAGATTCTTTCCCTTACTATCTGCAAACATGTAACACATCTAGTGTGTATCAATTTAGCAATAGAGCTATAAACAGTCTACAACAATGTTCTCAACCTTTTTAGACTCAAGACACCCTTTCATAACTTTTATGAATTGAGCAGCACTCCATTTCATAAACAAATGTATTTATTGAGTGTCTGGGCAATGGGGACGGGGCAGCAGCCGGGCTGGGACAAGACTGAGCCTGCAATTCTCTCTTCACACCTGCTTATCTCCTCGCACCTCATGAAACCCTTCAAAAGATCTCGTGGCACCCTGCTTGAGAATCACTAGTCTATAACCTACTTCCAGGTACAGAATTAATTTTTCATTGGATTAACCAGACTACCTTGTTTCATTGTCAATAAAGTCCATAAATGAGTGTCTCACTCAAGTTTTCTAGTTGGTTCTTGCCAAGCTATTTCAGCCAGCTGCATTTTTATTTTTTTTTATTTTTTTTTTTTTTTACACATTGCTTTTCTCAATGAACTCTAAAATACTCTATATATTTTGATACAAGTAAAAAGGCATATTTATTCCAGGGAAACTCCTTGACTAATCAAGCCTTAATATGGAATCAGTATAGAATTTCAACTAAAGGCATTTGTTAATGTAAGACCTCTAATACAATACTATATCTGAAAAAATACAGTAATAGCCAATTAATGGAATCACAGTGGAATATTCAAAGGATCATTTCTTACCCTCTGAAGAAGTTTGTCTCTGTAGTGTTCAACCTGTTCCTGAAAACTTTGGCCTGGTTTCTTGGGTCTTTTTCCAGACTCTAACTCATCCTGGAATTTCATCACCTTAAGCTGCAAAATATAAAATATTTATTTAAAATGCATCTTTTTACTGGGTTTACATCTTTCCAGTTTTAAAAAGTTGCCTAAAAGTGATTTGTGTACTTTGTTCTTTCAATGTGCATGTATGAAAGATAGCAATATTAATTGTATTAACAGGATCAGTGATGAAATTGGGTACTTGATCTTTGACACCTGCAACCATGTTTACCAAGAACTATTAATAACATCTGAGATTTATTCTCAGTTATTTTACTCAATTTTGTGCTCACTATTGGGTTGTTTGTTATACCCTAAAACTTCTAAAACCATAGTCTACATTTTTTGCAAATGAGACAGTTTATTGCAGGTGTCTTACAATATTGTTTCTAACTCTGTTGTCTGTAGGAGTTTTAGAAACTGCTTTTATATTTAACCCTAAATATTAAAAAAACTGAGTTCAAGTGACTGACAACCAAGACAAAACTACTAAGCCTTTGCTTCTGAGATGTTGAGTGCTTGCGTAAAATAATTCTCTTTCAAGACAAATTTAACATATCACCTTTTTATACACAAGCCATTATGCCAACAAATTCAGCTCATCAGAAGTAATGCTGCCTTTCTGTGACAGCATCTCCACCAAGATTCACAGCAATAGCAAGTCTTTGAGGCTGTTTTCTCAGTAAGGAACTTCTCCTTTCCTTCTTTCTATGCTAAACTTTTCCATCAAACTATATAATTTTATTTCAATTTCTTACATTTTGCTAAATAGTCAAAAATATTTGTATTTTCTTTATGTATTTCCACAACTGATGCTATTTCCTACAAGCACTATTTAGCGTCTGCATATAAGCAGCATTGTATCTACAAGTACTCCTTTATTTTATACTATAGTCATTGGATAAAATACATTAAACAGCACTTGAAATAGGGACCAGAGTCAGGAGGTCTCTCCTTCCCAGGGAAGAGCCTAAATCAAAAGACTAGATAGGGTCTCTTAAATGCATATCCTGGCCTAATGAATCTTGAACTTAATCTTCAACAGCAGAAGCAGACAGGAATAACCTGTCACCTAATGACTAAGGCAGTTTCCTAGGAGATGAGATGTGGTTTTCACTTGCCCTGTTTGAAAACATTGATGACAGATGTCCCACACCCTGGGGAGTGCTCCTATCACTGAACTACTAAATGGAGCTGGGAGGCACCACAACAGTCACAAAAAAACAAGGATCCCTTTTCTGCTTTTGAAAAAAAGAACTTAGGCACCTAAATCAAAGAAATGGTTCCAGATGGTCCCAATCTGACAGTTTCTTAACCCGAAGTGTACGAACATATTTAGCTCAGCATTTCTTAGTGGCTTAATGTGTGCTGTCATAAATGCTATCCTGAAATGTCTAACTTCCCATGCATCGTACTGTGACCGTATGTGCTTATTTCTGAGCTCAGTATATTCTACTGTGGGGGTTATACACCTAAATGTTAATTCTTTTATTAACTAGACTTTTTCCCATGCATTTTGTAGGAGTCCCAATTAATAGAACTGTATTTAGAAAGAACTGTTTGATAATTTGCTATTCTAATATGTATATTTGAGGTAGATAACTTTTTCTGACGAACTATTTGGGAACCCTGTCCTTGACACTACCTGGGACCACAGTGTGCAAGGTGTCAAGTTACATGAGAAGGCTCTCAAGAACAACCTCCACAAGAATGCAGAGACTGGTCTCCTAAGATATGGATGATAAAACACTTGAGAAGCAATAGAAAAGATACATAGGCCAATATCTATTATTGTTCCTCTACCTCAGCGAGACAGTCTTCCAGAGAAGGCAAACTTTCTTGAAGGTCAAAACCTCAATCGCGCAGCTGAAGAGGCTCTCAAAGAATGATACCAAATACACTAAACCAAATACCAAATACCATAGGGTCAAGTACAGTCAGAGTGAATACCCATAAGAAACATAAGGGTAATACAGGAGTTCCCAAGATTTAGTACCCCTAAAGAAGGTTTCAGACCTGAACCAGTACTACAATCTAACCACACTCTGGAATCATAGCTAATTATTAAAGCCAGTGACAGTATTTTGATGGTACAGAAGAGCCTTCTGCTGCTTCCTGACCCTGACAATAAAAAGGAATAACCTTTGTCCAGGGAAGGAACTTTGCCAGTTGGTGTTGCCTGTGACCCACTCTAAAGTTTAATTTACTGATACCCCAGAAAAAACTTGGTACTGACATAGATACCAGTACCTCAGATAGACTTGTCTTCATTTGAGACAAATGGAAAAAGGGAAATAAGAGATCTCTTGCAGCATATACATATTTAATATGGTTTGCATAGCATGAATTAGAGGCAAAGACAATTCATGCTGGAGGAAGTAACAATAACAACTGCACTGAGATTGTTGGTGTCAAAGTCACCAAAGCTTAACAAAAGAATTGTACGCTTGAACCACTATAAAGGAGGGCAAACATGCTGAATGGTCTCAGGAACGCAATTTAGTCACAGGAAGTAATTTCTCTATGTCTAATGAGAAGTCATGCTTGCAAAAAAGCGTGCTCAAAAAGACAATATTGGTCATAGGGGCTTTTTCCTAAAGGCAGTATCAGTCTTTCGGGATTTAAAAGATATACCTGATAATGGATGACCCTGCCTCTTGCCTTTAGTTGACTTCTAGGGATTTATTCTCATCAGATACGGTTTTCAGTCCTGTGGCAGCTACCACAGCACTCCTTGAGGTACATAATCTGGTGCCAAGCAGCATCAGAGTAACACAGAGCAGATGCCAGGTATATAGATGGATTTTTCCAAGCTCACCTGGATCCCTTTATTCTCTTTTGCTTGTTCCCACAAGGACCTACATACACAAAACACCTCTCCTACAAACCATGCCCTTTTCCCAAGAAATTGGGCACCTAGTATGACCACTATACTGAGAGAGACAACCACCTGACAGGACAAACAATGCTGAAATCCCAGGCCTCTTCTAGTAGGCATCTGAAACAAAATTAATAGTACTGGAATACCATGCCAGAAAAGAAAAATACCTCTCAAATAGAAAGAAGAGGGAAAATATAGGGGGGGAACTCTCAATACTATCTATCTTCTTACTAACTGCTGACTACTATGTAAACTAAGCTTAAGTATTTACACAAGAGTGCTGATAAGCCCCGATAGCAATGAGCTGTGAGGCTGTCACTGGGAACTATGACTGCAGTGATGGTGAAAAGAACTGAAAGGGGTCAGGGCACCCTGCCCATTATGCCCTCAACTGAAGGCACAAGGGCACTAAAAATGCGTATGCCTCCACAATTAGTACAGCTGATCAAAACTATACAGACTGAGTTCACCGTGTATGCACACACAAAGTAAAATACCACATTTACCCAAATCCAAGACAACCCTGAATTTAAGACAACCCTCCTCCCTCAAATAATTAGATTCCATACATGGAAAAATTTATAAATGTTATAGTTTTCCATGTACAGGATCTAATTATTGGATGATCATATTCAATTCATCCCCACCACCACTACAAAAGGGAAAACAGTGGCAGTGGCAGGGGGCGGGCAGGGGGGGAGACAGTAAGGGGGCAAACTGTAGGGGGGGCAAGAGTGAAGCACATGGTAGGACAGGTGATGGGTGGACAGGCAGTGGAGGAGGCAGTAAGAAGGCAGGCACTTGTGTGAAAAGTAAGCAACAGGCAGTAAGGAAGCAGACAGTGGGGGAGGCAAGCACTCCTGTCCCCAACCTCCCACTCCCATCTTCCTACCCCTCACTGCCTCCCACTCAGTTCCAAGACAAAGGGCTTTCTTCCCATGTTAAAATGGGAAAAACCTCATCTTGGAATTGAGTAAACATTGTATTTATGCACACAGAATGTGTTGCATACACTGATGTGTGCACAACTGACTTGACCAAGTCAGGAAGTTTTGGTAGAAATCCCTACCTTACACTGTTTGTCCTTATACCTCTCTCTATTCAAGGGCATAAAGGAGAGTAAACCACACAGCTATTTCTCAGTTCCTTTTCACTGAAATCCACACAGATTTGGGTTTCAAAGGAGAGAGGAAGAAAAGGAGTTGTGTAATATATAATTATTTGATATAAAGATTGTGTTTATGTGCACATACTGAGACACACATACACTATAAGACAACAGTTACAGAAGAAACAAGTCATTGTTTTCTCTTCAAGTGCTTGTCCACATATACATCCCACTCCCAGGTGATTAGCAAGCACTTCTGAGGTTTGAGATGTTTTGTAGTTTATTTGGAAAAAAAATCAATTGAAGCATAAATTTATCAAAGCCTGCATCACATCTAGAGGTCAATGTGATCTAATAATGATGGGCAAACGCCGATTGAAGACCACTTTACTGCCTTTCAAGTGTCTTTAGCTGGAATGTTTGAGGAAAGCAGCAAGAAGTCTGACCTCTAGCAGAGAGAGCTGTCAGCTTGGAAGGCAGAAGTTTGAAATAACTCTGGATATAAGCTGGGTGTGTGGTCTTAGAAACTTGCTTATCCCAAGGGGAGGTTTGGCTATATGATGAATCTATCAAAAGGGCCTGACGCTTACCTATTATCTTGGCAGTAATTCAGATGGTCACATTGGGAAATAACTATGATAAAGGGCAGTTTATTCAAAGGTTTGAATGAGAGTGAATAATAATTTTGGTAGTTACAACTTTTAAGAAAACCTACCCTTAATGAGGGGGGAAACTGGCCCAGTCCTTCAAAAATCTCTCTATGACAGGATCCAGGGAAACTGACTGCCTTCATACTAAGGAGTGGAGAGCTGAAATGGCTCCCAAATGCATACTTGTGTTACTAACTTTCAAGAGTCCAAAATTCCTTTTACAGATACCTAAAGTGGAGAGATTTGCTGCTGAGCTATATAAAATGAAAAAAAACCAACAGTTTTGACAATTAAGTTATTCTGCTGGGGCCTTCTTGACTCTTCACTGCTTCTCAGCCTTTTGGCTCAGATCAAGCATACTTGCTGTGAACAACCCTTCTCAAAGATGATCAGTCATTCAATCGCTGAACTGACAAACACCAGTTAGTCGCACTGACTAAACCTACAATAGTTCTTTCATTAGACAGGAGGAAAAATCCAGACTGTTCACACATCCCCCACTCCCCCCAGCACAGCTTCCTGGCAGCTGAGTGTGCACTCTAGTGCCCCCTGGCCCCCAGACTGAGCAACTGTAGGCATGTGCCAGCATTTCCTCAGTCCAGAGAAAATGTCTCTGCAGTTGCAAATCAGTTCAACCTAGGCAGGTTAGAGTAACCGGCATAGATTGAATCAATTCAGACTTCAGCTTTTTGAATGTCTGTCCCTAGCCCAGTGATTGCTAAAAGGTACTTTCACTGCTGGAAAACTCTATTAACAGATGCACCCCACCTTAGGATCATCTTGAGGAAGGAAAGTGAAGGCAGATTTGTGATAATCAAATTATAAGCACTAAGCAAGCAAAGTAAATAGTTCCCACAAGGAGGAGATTGACTCTCCTATTCAGACAAAGAGTACTCTGAGGTATGTTTAGAGGTTTAGGAGGCCAAAATGAGGATGCAACTGAGAAAACACTTGTTGTCTCTAGAATTTGTAATGCCTTTGAAAGTACAGATGTGCCTGGGTTGAAACGAAATGCATCTATGCTGGCTGTTGAAGCGTATCTTGTATTCTTTTAAGGCTAGAACTCCAAATGCCAAGGCCAATCTATACATCAGTTCCTAAAAGGCTTGAAAAATTATCAGAGAAGTTATTTTCAGTACTACAGTGTCATACTTGGGAGGATGTTGCACACAAGCAGCTGCTGTTCTAGATCCTATAGATCTTCATTAAAGGGATCAAAATTGAAAACATGCTCTACCAGTTGAATTGATGCTTTCTTGGAGGCTTAGAAATAGCTAAGACAAAGTACAAGATGTGGAGGTATGAAGAGTACCCCAAAGAATCAAATTTTTCAAGCAGACAATGCATATTAACGCAATTATGGATGTCAAGTAAGGGCTTTTTGGACTTGGAAATCTCTTTAGAAGCCACAAGAAGCAGAAGGCCTGATTAAAAGGAATGCTGTTTCTTCTCAGTGCAACGTGTGAGGAACACCATTTTATTCCCTTTGAAATACAGGGAGCTGATGAAGTATTTTTGGGCCAAGCTAAGTCCTATCTTTCAACTCATGAGTGCCTGGGGTCAGAGTAAGAATACACAGATTTTTCCATCAGACACCAAGATGCATTTCTCAAGACTACTGGGTTCTGTTCTTGAAAAGACTTCCAGGCATGACATTTTTCTTTTCACATCCTTCTCCAGAGACGAACCAAGTATGTAGTATGCCCATCAGTTATGAGCATAGCATCCTCACAAACAGAACACTATTTTAGGCCAGAAAACTTCTGTAATGTCAGAAAAAATAAGCAATTCTCTTTTCAGTCCAAGATAATTTTTAAAACAGGTAAGTAATTTAACAAATTAGTCTACAAAATATTTATATGCAAGACAGCAACAATTTGTAAAGAAAAGACCAGGCACTTGAACCAAAATGAAAAGCTCCAACTTGCAGAATGGGCAGCAAGAAGAAACTGAGGAAGAATGAGGTGATTTTGTGCCTTTCATGCTCTTGGCCAGATGCACAAAGGGTGCAAAGTGCATGCATCATTCCTGCAAGGATTTACACTAAAAATCCTTAACTGCAGTGTACATTTCAACCACATGGGATATATCAGTGCACAAGCACCTTAACTTAATGTTTTCTGATTTAAGTTAAAATGAAAAGCCAAATGAATGCAACAATCTTTTTGTCACTTAAAAGGAAACTGTAAACTGCTAATACTAAATGCTAACATCATGTAAATGTTTTTATATTAGCATCGCAATGAGAAAAACTGTGTTTGGGGAAGGAAAAAATTTACCCCGACCAAGTTTAACCAGCTATATATGCAGGCATAAAGACAGCTAATTCCAACCTTTGATGCTGGTACTGTTTTGCTACACTGAGTTTTCCCAAAGGCTGGGTTAACAGGCAGCAGGTTATCTATTCACATTGAAATGACTAGTTGTCCAAACTGCCAAGATAAAAAACTAATTAACTTATCTAGGGGGAAGAGAACCATTCTGTGCGCTTCAAGGACACACATGCAAATTATCCCAACTGCAAAGAAGTCATAGACTGTGCTGTTGGTAAGGACAGGGCTTTATCAGATTCCACTTTTTAGGTGCCAAATGTACACTGGTAAATTATTGTGTAACTCAGATTTTTTTTTCCAAACCTGGTTATGGATGTGCTTCTCAAAAAAGGGCAATTTACATACCAGGCTTCAAAGTTCATTCAGTTTTGGCAGTAGAGTTAAAAAGAATGGTCTACTATGATTCTGAACTAAAGTCAGCTCTTATCAAGGATAATTTTCAGAAGATAGGGCAAAGTCTAACTTTTCCTATAAAATACGTTTTTAAAAGCATTTTTCTCTGAGGATGCCAGAACACAAACCAAAATGGCAACGTATTCCAAGCAGCAAGACAAACATGTTAAAAGCTCTGAACTACATGTACCAGCTGAGACTGCTATGGCCACACTGCTAAAAACATGATTGTAAACACCACCAATACACACATTTTGTGAAACAGTAAGCACATTTCCAATTTGTTTTAACATTTGTTAAAGTATTAATAATATTACGAATTACTGGGCTGAACAAAAGTTCGTTCATGATTAAGCCAATGTTACAGCAAATTGGAAGCTAGTTTATATCTGATCTTACTCTATAAGCACCATAATGAGAGGTATTTTTGGTAAAATACTGCCACCAAGTAGGGAAA